CTCACGACCTTGCGCTTGCCAGGCAGGCGCTTTTGCCGCTGAGCTAAATCCCCAGCCCCGAACCTAAGATTTTTAACTAAGGTAGGAAGTAAGAGAAAATAATACCATGCTTCATATGCCATGTACAGTTTACAAAACAAACTCAACCACTATCTTCCTGAGTGGTGTGCTTTTCCAACCAAACAACAAACAAAACACACTACAAAATAGGTCAACATGGTGACACACACCCTTGAGTATTCTGAGAAATGACCAGAAGAGGACACAGCTCAGCTGCTTTGGTCAGGGAAAAAAGCTGTTAGACTGTGAGGAAAAGAGGTGACAGGAAACAACCACCCACCATTTTGGAAAAGATGAGGTCAGGTCAGCCACAGGTCAAAGCTGGAGGTGAGGTCACAGACCCATTCTAGTGTCAGCACACGGCTCAGACAAAGTAAGTCCCCAACCTGCCAGCTGCAACTCAAAGGTCAGAAAACAGGGCTCTAAGCTAGACATATAACAGAACAACTATGAGAATTAATTCAATTTATTCAGCAAATATTTACCCAAAGCTGCCTCTGCTAGGAACTATCCTGGAGACAAGTTGTATATTTAAGAAATAAATCGATACACAATGCAAGTAACAAGTAGCATATATTTTTCTACACATTTTTCCCCATTAATTTTAAGAGGAAGAATGAGTATATTTAGTATTCACTACCTTGCCACACTTTGCCATATGACTACAATTTATGGTACATCTTTTTTTCCTATCAATTATAGTTTGCCCCCACCACCACTCCTCCCATAGAGACACTAAAATAAATCTGAATTCTGCTGTTCTTCCCAAGTATTTTTAAGGCACACAGTCAAGATTAGCTTTCATCACACAAACCGCAGACCCCTGGCATTTATGTCTACAATTCTTTTCTAAATGAAGTAGTTTAGAAGGAAATCAAGGGAATCCCAATTTACTTCATCTTGAAACTGTTTTCCATGGGTTTATCTCAAGTGTTTCTGAATATGCTACAGATGAAAATTGGTTAAGTGCACACAGAATAATTCTTGAATAACTTTTGAGTGATTTGGTTCCATACTGCCATACATTCATAATACAAACCATTTTAGGAATCCTTTACCTAATTTCACCTATAATATTATGTTTTTAGTTTAAAAACGCAAAAAGTGAAAACAGTATTTCTTAAAAATGCTTGAGAAGCACTTTTGAATTGTGCCCAGAAACACTGAACAGTCACTGATAAGTTTTTAGGGGCCGGGGATACAGCTCAGGGGCACAAGCACCTGACTAGCAAGTGCAAGGTCCTGAATTCGATGCCTGGTACCAAAAAAAAATTTTTAGTTAACAATTAAAGAACATATTTAAAACTAAGAAAACAAACCTAATAGAACACTTTTTCTTAAGTTTCTAGTATCTGTAGATAAACAAAAAATAACTTTAAGATCATATTTTTAGTGAGACTCTATGAATCTTTCTGGAGGGACACAATTAAGAATTCACAGGACAAGACAATCCAAATTTACCATTCTGTTCTGTAGCACGTGGACAAGTTCTAGAAAGGGGACTGACTAGTTTACCTGGTCCTTACTAGTTTACATGGTCCTTAAGCCCAACAGCTTTCCTGTACCTTGACATTTTTGTTTGATATGCTCTCACTCAAGGTACCATCAAAGCAAACTGTCCTTAGAATTTAGCCCTCCTTATAGCACTATGTGATTATTGTTTCCTAAGTATATGGAAACCCTTACTAAATAGTAAACAATTATACAAACCTTATTGTAAAAAACATGAGATTCTTAGCAAATGAATAAATTGTTGAGGAGTTAAAAATGCAAAGCTTAAAAAAAAAAAAAAAAAAAAGGGGGCTGGGGATTTAGCTCAGCGGCAAAAGCGCCTGCCTGGCAAGCGCAAGGTCGTGAGTTCGGTTCCCGGTACCGGAGAAAAAAACCAAAAAAAAAAAAAAAAAATGCAAAGCTTGCATGCCCAGACCTAAAGGAAGAAGTCACAAAGGTTTCTTTCTTTTAACAAAAGATTAAACATGAATTAACGTGGAGAATTCTATTCAAATTGGTTTAGACCACATATGAATATTACAAAGTTATACCATTAATATTATTCATCAAGATACCATAGGCAAAATAGGTTATTACTCACAGTAAGTGGGACTGTAACTAACCCTCTATAAATTCCTTGATCATTAGTCCCTTTTTCCTCTGGTACTGGGAATCAATCTCAGGACCTTGCACTTGCCAGGCAGGCATTTGTGCCACTGAGCTATATCCCCGGCCCCTCCTTGATCATTATTATCTTCACTACTTGGCACCATTTGACATCAGATTTTTCATACGTTGTGTGCTTGTCATTACTGTTTATTGTCTTTCTATCTTCTCCCCACTAGACTCTAAGTTCCAGAAGGGCAAAAACCTTATCTATCGTCTATCTTTCTGTATGGCCAGTGTGTAGCACCCAGAAGAAGCTCAATGTAAATTTGCTGAATAATTAGATCAATGAGCAGCGTCCAGTCTTGACTTTGCTCCACTTCCTTTCCTCCATATACAACACAACCATCCTTTGAGGCCAGGGTCAAAGTCTACTATCTCTAAAGATTACTTCTTTAAACCTTCCAATCTTTCTCCTTTATACCAGAAATTTGCTCCTCACCAGCTGTCTGATCATTGTTTATCTTTGCCTATATACAAATTTCATTTAAAATTTTTGCAATCCTGCTCTCCTTAAGGGAATGGACTTATGCTCCCAACTTTTGCTATCCATGTAAATAGTATACCTTTAATAAATGGTTTGCTTGATTAATTTAGGTCTGTAGTTAATCCAGAAATCTAGATATAGTAATCTCAACTTTTTATAATTTATCCCTTCCTTCCAAATAACTCAAAATTGGTCATGAAACTGAAATGGATTCCCCTCTATTTTGAATTTATTTCTAGACATTTCAAGTTTATATTCTCATCCTTATAATTTATGGTTATAGTTTATCCATTCCCCTCCACCAAGATTTTTTTATGTAGTAAAAATCTTGACTTTTTGATAAAGCTATAGTGAAAATTCAGCCCCAAAGTAGAAGGGAGTGAAGTTTCACTACTATTCCCTTGTTGTTGATGAAGTATCAAAGGTATTTATTTACCTGTGCCTCTTTCCTTTCATGCCAAGATGTATCCCATTTCTTCCTCTACCAGTCATATCCCTGGCAAGCTTTTATTATTTCTTTGTACCTGTTCTCAGTAATCTGCTTTCAATCCTTTTTGAACCACCCTTGTTTCCTCCATTTATTTGTTTAAATTTCTATCTCAATTGATTTGTGTACAAGAATGGCTTCTTTAAGTTCAACCAACCTTCATGACCCTTCCTTCACACAGTCATTCTAGGCTAAAGAAATGTATACAGTAGCATTACCCACAACACAAAAATCTGAAACAAAAATGACATCTGGCTTTGGAATATATATGTAGCATAGGCCAAGATTTCCTTTCTTAATTATGTTGTGCTAAAATCAACATTAGTAAGACTTTATTTGGTGAGAGTGGACCTCTCAGGTTTAAAAGTTGATTCAGTTATTCCTTTAAAAGGCCAACCAAGCATCAACTGCAGCCTTTTCTGTGAAGTCTTTCTAACTTGTTCTTTCAATCTGTTGAAATCTGTCATAAAACCTGTTTTCTGTTTCCCCTGATTTATCTCCTCTTTTTCTTAGGATTCAGATCCAAACTAATTTAATATTAATTTACTTCTTCAGGCTAAAGTACCTTTTGCCTAAGAACTCACATCATTTTAAAAACACTAAAAGGCCAGTAAAATTTTTAGCCCAGGTAATACACAACAGAACACTGTTTTTGCCAGATACTCCAGGAAACCGGGAGATTCTAGGATAAATGACACTGATAATTTTAGCAAATTATATTTAGTAGGATTTTATAATTCATTGAAAAGGAACAACATTAATACTGAACAGCTATATAAATCTGCTTCACCAATATATTAATCCCATATGCTGAAAATTCTATGAAATTTCCTCAATATAGGCACTTACAGAACACGGCATCAAAATAAACTCACACAATCCCACCTCTCCCAACTCCAACTCCAGCTCCAGCTCCAACTCCAACTCCAACTCCAACTCCGCAGCCTTCTTGAAACTACAGTTCTGGACTTTTTGGGAAGGTGGGGAGACCTAAGGAGAGCTGGGGACTGAACCAGGGCCTGCCTCCACCTCCAACCCCAACCCACCTTAAACATTCATCTCTTCCCCCTCACCTCCACTCCCAGCCATGGCACAAATAACTTCTCAATGTGATGATTTTTTTTTAAATTGGCTTAACAGGATCTTCTCTTTTGCCCCCTTCTCAGTTACTACCATTAAAATTTTGGCCAACACTCCCTTCACACCAGAATCCTCAATCTCATATTGACTTTTTATTTTATAGGTACTCAATTACATTTAACAAGCTGAAGGGAAGGTCAAGGGCTTTCTAACCTCAAGAGGCGCAAAAGTCGATGATCCTGCAGTTCTGTTCCTCACCTTCCTCTATAATTATGCACTGAAACACTCGTGTAAAATATGTACAATTTACGCCAAATTAGATATTTTACTTTCGAGTTGCTGACATACCAGAGGTTAAAACTAAAAAAAATTTAAACATCATTGCCACAGTTTACACGTTTTTTAAAAACACCTAAATGTAGGTGTATAGCACTTGAGCCAATTTAATTCACCATATTATAATTCAAAATAAATTCACTTCTAATTTTCTACACATATGTGGAACTTTGATAAGTACAAATTATTTTATCCAAAATCCACTTTGGGCTGGCGTTATTTTGTCCAAATCTGTATATAAGATGCTATGTGTTAACCGTCCCCCCCCCCTCAAAATTTTTTTCAATAGCAACTTTCCACAGTCTTTAAACTCAATAAATTCTGAAACTTTCTTATAAAAACAGTGACAAAAATTTTCACAGTACCGGGTCACACTTTGACTAAAATACTCACACAAAGCCGTAAATCCTTAGTTTTTCAATGTACTTCTTCAGGCCGCTGCCTTCCCCAAGCACACAACTGCAGGCGCCTTTATTTAGCACTGCCTCCCAAACCGTGTCCACCCAGGACAAGTAAATAATTAAAGAGTAATTAATTCGACGGGTAAGCATTGTTTTCTTCTTTAAAAAAATTAACTTCAAACTATCTTTTTCTTTTTCTTTTGATGGCTATGAAATAGCAAAACTCCTTTGAGGAAACATTTTTCACCTATCCGTACTACCAAGTCAGCCCAGAGAGTGGTTAGATACAAGAGGCATTTTTCTGACACGCCTGGCTCCCCAAATGGTAGTCGGAGCCCTTTCATGGGTGGTGGGGTGGTAAATTTCACTCATGTATTCAATCTCTCTGACACGCACGCGTACACACACACACACACACACACACACAGGCAAAGAAAGACAAGAATGAAACATACCTGGTCATTTTCTAAACAGGTTGGATAGGTTTAGTTCACTTGTAAGAGCACAGTACTTACTTATAATCTCTTAAAGCAAAGTGGCAGCCAGAGCGCTGGGTAAATAAAAACTTCAGAGAGTTTTTAAAACCTCGCATCTCAACTCACTTCCCCTCGGTTCGAGGGGACGGCACAGCAAGTCCCATAGCGAATGAGATTATGCAACAGGTTTTCCCTCCCCACCTTCTCCACCGCGGGCCGGCGGAGGTGTGCTTTCCGCACACGATCGAGACCCCGGGGCTTCGACGCGCCAAGGATCTCTGCAGCGGACGTTTAACAAACTTCGGCGCGATTGTGCGGTTATTCATTCATTTCGAGATCTGCTTTCTATTTTCTCAGCTTCATTGCCGGTCGTCTTTAGCAAATTAAACCCAGCCTCGAGAAACTCGAGTTTTGCGTAGATATACGCTCTTCTGCGGTATCTGATGTCAGGAAACGACACACGATACACAGACCCTCCGTTGTCTCCCCGGGTTTTATTTCTCACGTTTTACGGCCAGTGTAAGTAAAGAAGTCCCCGGCCCAGCGGACCCCCGACACCCCGACTCAGTATGAAAGTTAAGACTTTATTTTTCCCTTTTCCGGGGAGCGGGGGCTGAGCGTTTAAAAGGCAGCACGGTCACCACCCAGGTGGCCTCGCCGCCTACCCCGAAGGCGACTCGGGGATAATGGGAAGTCAGGCCGGGGCCCCACTCGGCAGGCGTGTTGTGTAACAGTCGCGCCTGGAAGTGAGCAGCTTCGCCCGCGGAGGCGCCGCGTCCCGGGGCGGCCGAGCCCGCTGCCCCTCGGCTCT